TTTCTAAAGTGGACAACTAAATAGGGACGGAGGGAAATATATTGTTGTTGTTGCTTCCACTCATATTATTCACGAGCTAACTCTATTTTTTTTTTTTGGGAAATACTCCCTCCGTCCCTTTTTAGTTGTCCATATTTCCTCTTTTTGTTGTCCCTATTTAGTTGTCCATTTTGACAAATCAAGAAAGGACAACAAATTTTTTTCTATTATACCCTTATTTAAAGTGAAAAGTTGTTATAAATAAAGTAAATAAACTTATGAACTTTTCAGCATTGATTAGTTATCTTGAGTGAATTTATTTTGGAAGTAAATTGTACTATAAGGGTAAAATTGTAACTTCACTATGCTAATCATTGTTGCCTTAATCTGTGTGTCATTTCTAAAGTGGACAACTAAATAGGGACGGAGGGAAATATATTGTTGTTGTTGCTTCCACTCATATTATTCACGAGCTAACTCTATTTTTTTTTTTTGGGAAAAAGAACTCCATTAAGCTATTTAATCTTTTCGTTTGACTGGCCACCAAATATCTAATATTTATTAGTGTCAATTGTGTTTTGAATTTTTCGTCGTATATTTTAGAAAATTCATAATTCCTATTAATTTAGGATTCTCTTTACCTAATAGATTTGAAAAAAATCACACATTGTCCTTATAATATATATATATATATATATATATATATACATATAATGGAAGATTTTATTGTACACTTTTTTTTTTCTTTCATAGTGGAAAAGTCTCTCTGCTTTTGCTTGGAGGATTAGGCCTAACCGAATCTTGTTAAATCTTTGTTTTATTTTTCTTTCTATTTTCTTTGTTCATGATTGTGTACTAGTTACTTTATGATATTTCTATAATAACTAGTTCAAATATGTATCCCTTAAGGATTGTTTAACCTCAAGCACGGACTCTTGATTAAAGGTTGAAGGATCACATCCATTTAATAATAAAGATTAACCCTAATCGAACCTTATTAAATCCTTATGTTATTTTTCTTCTCTATTTTCTTTATTTGTAATTGTGTGCTAGTTAATCCACAACATTCTACAATCCCTTAAAGATCATTTAACCTCAAGCACGAACTCCTGATTAAAGGTCGAACGATCACATTCATTTGGTTATAAAAATTTACTAGTACTAACCTAGTTATTATTATTAGAAAAAATAAAAAGAAAATATAAGGGGTAATTCTGTCATTCTCCACGAGCGTGGGAAAAAGAAAAAGGAAGCAATAAAGAAAGTAGAAGCAAAAATTATTAAGCTTTGTTTGGTTCATGTAATTTGTAGGGGCAAAATCGAGAAAATACAACCAAAGTTCCCCGCGTTATTTTTCCCACTTTCCTAACCAATTCCTCCCTCTCAAAACAATTTTTTTTATATAAAGCCAAAAATTAAAATAAACAAAATAAGAAAAACCTTCTTTCCTCTTTCTCTCTCTAAAATTCTCAGCCAAAACCCACCACACATACAGTAGAGAGAGAAAATCAAATCGAAGATTTTAGAGAGGGATATTGAGTTTCTTCGGAGACGAAGGGAAGCTTAATCCTCCATTCGGTGTCAAAAGGGAGGTGTGATTTTTGATTTTTTTTATATATATTTTTTGGTCATGAGGAGAGGCAGAGCAACTTCGGCGGCGGCGGCGGCGGCGGTGCCGGTGAAGCCAGATGGATCTGGAGGATTGAACGAGATTAGGTTTCGTGGAGTTAGGAAGCGGCCATGGGGGAGATTTGCTGCAGAGATTAGAGATCCATGGAAGAAAACTAGGGTTTGGTTAGGTACTTTTGATTCAGCTGAAGATGCTGCTAAAGCTTATGATACTGCAGCTCGAACTCTTCGTGGACCTAAAGCTAAAACTAATTTCCCTTTACCTCTGTATTCTCAGCATCATCAGTTCAATCAAAGTTTAAACCCTAATGATCGGTTAGTTGACCCGAGATTGTACTCACAAGAAGCTCCGATCGTTTGTCAAAGACCTACATCGAGCGGTATGAGTAGTACTGTGGAATCATTCAGCGGACCGAGACCGCCACGTCAGCAAACGGCGGTTTTGCCTTCGAGAAAACATCCTAGATCGCCGCCGGTTGAGCCGGATGACTGCAGGAGTGATTGTGACTCATCGTCTTCTGTTGTTGAAGATGGTGATTGTGAAGGTGGAAATGACAACATCGTTTCATCATCTTTCAGAAATCCACTGCCTTTCGATCTTAACTTTCCTCCGCCGATGGATGATGTTTATGCTAATTCAAATGATCTTTACTGCACAGCACTATGTCTTTGAAGGAAAATGGTTTCAAAGTTTCGATCTTTCAATCATTCGAAACCCGAAAAAAAATCACAGATTTAAAGCAATTGCTATGACTCTGTTGCTGGAAGAGATTTTAACTCTTCCATTTACTTATCCTATTTAATGTCATGGTATTTCATGATAGATGGATTAGTGTGTCTGATAATTGATCTGATTATGTGTCCTTCAACTATATATGAGTTCTGGGATAATGTAGTATTTTATTGTCAGTTGAAGACAGATTTGTATACATTAACATGTAAAATTAGAGGGAACTTTCAGTTCTGTGTTGTACTATTACGATGAGAGCTCTAGTGTCGTTGATGTAAGACGATATCTACTCTCTCATCACTTAATGTAAGAATCAAGACTTCATCTAATCAAATATTAGCTGACATGTGTTCGTTGGCGTATATGCTTGTTTAGTGTTTTGATTGTTGTGATAATTCAGCTATCATTTTAATTTTCTGGTATGAGTGGTTTTACAAGTTATGCATAGGTTAAACACCCCATAGTAATAAGATAAATTGAGTTCTTGTATGTTTGTCAAAGGTTTAATAAGTCTTGTGGTAGTGATGTGATAGAAGTTGAAGATAAAAATGTTTCATAGAATTGCATAATTTGCTGGATTAAAGTATTTTGACATGACTTATTGGTGTTCATTCTCGAGGCAATGGCATAAGCCCAAGTTTAGAAGCATTCAATCCTTTGATGACAATATTCAATGTTTTGGAATATAAGGAATGCCAATGTTTCGAAGGGTAAGATGAATAGCTTACAACAGATCAAATACAAATGTTTTATGGATTCTGACTTTTTGGTGTAATCTACTGCAGGATGTAAAGGATGATGATAGTATGATAGATTTCATAGAATCTTTACAAGGATAAGACTTTCACATTAGGGATCCTTTTTTTGGTTTTTTGTACACAGGAGTTCCTGATATTTATACCGACTTAGTGCAAAGTTGTTCCCTTTTTAATATATATCTTACCTAATCTACTGCAGGATGTAAAGGATGATGATAGTATGATAGATTTCATAGAATCTTTACAAGGATAAGACTTTCACATTAGGGATCCTTTTTTTGGTTTTTTGTACACAGGAGTTCCTGATATTTATACCGACTTAGTGCAAAGTTGTTCCCTTTTTAATATATATCTTACCTTTTCAAAAAAGAATAAAAAAATAAAGCATTTGACATGGCTCAGTGGTGTTCATTCTCTTGTGGATAAGCTCAGGTGGGTCCAAAATTTAAAGTTGTTCCTTCGGAGAGGTAGAGGTAGGCCTAAGAAGTATTGGGGTGAGGTGATTAGGCATGATATGACACAACTTTAGCTCATCGAGGACATGAACTTGAGGGGAGAGGGTGGAGGTTGAAGATTAGAGTAGGAGGGGTAGTGGGTAGGCGGGTGTATTTCCTTTCCATTCTCAGAGTATTAATATTTTTCTTCTTGTTTTTCCCTTTCTTTAGATTACTATTACTATGTGTTAAGTATTATTTAACCTCGTTATCTTATTTTCTTGTTGTTGTTTCTGCGTGTTATTGCTGCCTCGTTTTCATTGTTCATTCAGTCGAGGGTCTATCAGCAATAACCTCTCTTTACCTTCTCAAGGTAGGGGTAGGATTTGCATACACTCTACTCTTGGTGGAATTGTGGTTGTTTTGATACTGAGCAAGTAAGTTTGTGAACTAGTTTTTGTTTGAGAATAAGATTAATCTTCCGTCTTTTGCCAAATAATGAATACTGAATAGAACTTCTTATGTATACCAACTAAATGTTGTTGCAGAGTAAAGAAACAACATTCAACATTTAATAGCCATAATCATTTTTTTTGTGAGTAATCATGACGAGTTAGTTTTCAACCTAATGCTTCTTTGTGAATGTTCCTTATCATCTATAATATGCCGTGTCTATGATCTAACAGGTTAAATTATTTGAGCTAGAACTGTTTCTTTTCTTTCTTTCTGTGTAGAGCCATCTTGTTTGATGATGTTTAGCCATTTTGTATGTTCAGCTGCATCAGTAGCATTGGAAGCATCGTGATCTGCTTTCTTATTTAGATGATGTTAAGCTATTTTGTATGTTCAGCTGTTAGAACTTTGCATGAGATACTAGCAGATTTCTCTCCTCTTCTTACATATTTGTTAGAGTTATAGAGTTTGGTTGGATTCTTTAAATCGAGTCATTATGTTACGTAGATACCTTTTCAGACTCTTGCCTTAATTTGGTGACATTTTCTGAGGTGCTAATTTAAGTGTGAGCATACTTGACCTATACACACTTTTCTATTCGTGAGTATTGTGTATGCACTCCCATGGAAAAAACTTCTCACATGATCAAACATCTGGACCTTGTGAAACTTTGTGATCCAAACTTGTTATCTTTTCTGAGTTCTGACACCTTGTATTTGCAGGATTATAGGTGGTTTAGTAATTCTGTGCACATTTAATAAGGAGATTTTTTACTTTCTTGTTTTTTACATCAACAACATACCTTGTATAATCACACAAGCAGGGTCTGTGAGAAGAGTAGAGTGTACACAGACCTTTACCTTACCTAGTAAAGATAGAGAGGCTGTTTCCGAACTTTCTTGCTTTTCATCATCTAATATTTCCTTGATCTGTCATTTGTGTGCCTGCATCTATTCCCGTTTCTCTGCTTTTCTCCCTATTTGCAGTGAACCGTTGAGTCAGGTTACCTATGCTGGGAGCAGATTTGTCAAAGGCTTGCTAAAGGCTGTGATGGAGCCACCCTTGTCCAAAGGACACCCCTTCGCTGCAAAATTACAATGTGGATAGGTAAATTCTCTTTTATGTATATATACTATATATATGTTGAATTTTTTTGGCTTCTTATGTGTTTACTTCTTCATATTTCACACCCCTTAGTGAAAATCCCGGCTTGGCTACTGTCTTGAGGTATATTTATGAATATGTTATAGATATCGTCACTTAGACTGCACTTCAGTGAAGGTATCAATGCATTTAGGGAAAACCAGCAACTAGCTGATCTATGAGCTATGTCTTGAACAAAACGAGGGCACTAAACAATAACAAAATGAGATTTAGTTGTTATGCAAGACAATATCGATGGAAATTTGAGTGGTCTTGAATAGGGAATTTAAGATTAGTTTCTATACGTGATTGATATGATACTTCTGTACAATTTACTTTGTTGCAGTTATGTCAAGTCTCTGCTCATGACATTTAACTGTCATATTGGCATAAAAAGCTGGTTTGGTAGGAGCTTATGAGAAACGTTGGTCCTATATCCGTATTGGAGCCTGATTAAATTTGGATTGGTGCATCCATATTTGGGGGTGGCAACTCCCAACACAAGATTTTTTCCATGTACAGGGGTTCGAACCCGAGACTTTTGGTTTAGGGTGGAGGATTCTAAAATCATTCCACCCCAACCCATCACCGGTGATGTGTTGCTCGGGAAGATTTATACAAATAGAATCATTGTGTTGTTATTTAATTTCTAATTCCATTTAAATAGTTGTGAAAAAATAACCTTCACAAAGTTTGGAGTTTTACCAAAGATTTGATACAAATTGTGTTGTAAATTTGGAATAAATTGTTGTGAGGGATCACCAAAAATTTCTAATCGATGGGTGTCATAACACCTGACGAATCACCAAGATTTTAGTACAAATTGTGTTGTAATTTGTAACAAAATGCATACAAATACTGGTGGATCACCATATACTTTGTCAAACAAATCAACATTATTGCAAGAAAATGATGACATGTGATTGGTCTAAGTTGGTTTCAAGTTGAACTTGTATTTATAAAAATTAAAAGTTGTTATTCACCCAGCCACACTCCTCCGAAGTTTGTCTAAGATTTAAACCAACTAAAGCACTTATCGATCCTTTTTTTTATGGAGATTTACCCATCACAGAGATGCACAGAGGAAGAGAATGAACTTCATATATCCCTTTTCTACTCAATCCAGAAATAAGATCGGATGTTTTGTTACCTCCCATCAGTATACAAAAATTAACCTATTCGGAAGGTAGAGATGTCACCGTACCTCGATAATTTCAAATTTATATATGGGGGCTTTAATCGGTCTCTTTCTTGAGTACTGCTTGTGTTAGATGATTCAAATTTGATTACTAACTCTAACCGTATTTTAAGGTTCGTTTGATAGAGTGTAGAAGAATAGTATAGAATATGATGTATTAATATTGTTGGTATAAGTAATGCTGAGATTATTTCTTATGCAGTGATTGATTTAGTGGATCAATAAGAATACGTATGGCATAATTTCTAAAAATAAAATAAAATTATTTTAAAAATATCCACCACAAATACAGTAGAAAGGATTTAAGGGGCAACTGTGTCTTTAATTATGTTAATGCATGCATTTAAACTCCTTAAATTGCTAATACCGTGATTTTTTCATATAGTACACAACTAATATATACTTCACGCGTTTCAATTTATATGAGTTAGTTTGACTTGACATGGAGGATAAGAAAGAAAAAAAAAAGACTTGAAATATGTGGTCTAAAATTAGTGTGGTTAGAAATCATTTCACCAAAGGTAACATGAACATTTTAAAGTTAAATTATTACTAATTGTAAAAATATATCACTTTTTTGGACCGACTAAAAAGGTAAGTAAATCATAAAAAATGGTGCAGAAGGAGTAAATTATTTTTTTGATGCATCTTATCAAATAATCCCTAAATGTCTTTTAGTGATACTTTATTATTTTTAAATTTTGAATCTGTCGCTGCTAGTATAGATATCAAGTTCATGAAGACTTGGTAAAAATAAAACTAAAAGTTACTGTACTATTTTTTATTTATTTATTAAAATTTTAAGATTTTTAGGTCACATCCTTAGATTCCAATAACATTTTTTTGAGGAGAAAAGGTAGACACCACATGTGGTGATAATAATGGGCAGGTTGGCAATTGTGCATAATCGCATGTTTGCTCTATAAAATTAATACACCTGTTGTTGATGATCTGCATTTGATCTCATTTTGTCATCTTATTAAACACTCTGATTTGGGAAAAGTCTCTTTTATTGCCTTCGTATTAATATTATAAGACAAGACAACTAACTAACAAACAAATCAAGTTTAATTAGTGTTATATTTACAACCTTTTTTTTCCTCACCCAATGTCCGAAGCTCATATTGGAGCCTTGATTAAATTTGAATCGTGCACTGCAGGATCCATATAGGGGATAGCACTCCCAATAGGATTTTCTTCATACCCGAGGCTCGAACGCGAGACCTTTGATTAAGAGTGAAACCGTCCCACAACTGCACCACAACCAAATGTTGGCTATAGAAAAACCTTGGTTAGCTAGTTTATAGTATATTTGTTTTTTTGGGTACAACTTAGTTAGCTAGTATATGTTGACACGGGGACTTGCCTGAGATTCTTTTGTCAAGGTAAAAACTTACTTGTTTACACTAAATCAATGCAATTTATTATGATTAAGTAGTTTAATGAAATAATAATACATGTTAATTAATCATGATTAAGTAAATGAATTATGTATTCAAACACATGACATATGCGTATTGATTTAATATAAGCATCCGATGCAAATAAGTTTTTACGAGCAAATCATGGAGAGAATCCTCTCTTTCACTCCAATCACCCCATCATTTTGTGCTTTGGAATCAAACACTATAAAGTTTCACTTGTGGAGTTTAAAACTTCTTTAGTAAAGACAAAAGTCGAAAATGAGCAATCAAAGACGGATGCAATACTGTAACATTGAGTTAATTATCTGAACCAATACTTTCAATATGTGATATAAATATGCGTAACAATTCATTCTGATTCAAATAAATTTTGGACATATTTTAACCGGTTCAAATTTAATCTAATATATCGATTTGCCACCTTAATACATAATTTACTAAACCCAAAATAATTATTCTTTTACTTTTAACAAAGTGAACGTATACACTAGTAGAAAAACTATATAACTAAACTTGTTAATAGTATTATTATTATATATATAATATATATTCCAAACTAATTTAAGAAGTAAAAATCTCATTGATTGGAAGAATCCAGAACCATTATGCATAATATTAACTTTCCATTATAAAAATACTACACTCACTGTCTTCTCTATAAGTTTCCATTGCCTTTTTCTTCTTCTTTTTGCTTTTAAAAAATTTATTCCTTTCTTCTCCTCACATAAAGCTACCATCTACTTTTTCTGCCATCCTGCACTTCCCTTTCTTCCCAATCTCCATCACCAAAAACATATCTTCGACGAAAAATTATATTATATAAATACGAAAAAGCATATAAACTATTGAAGCACAAATTCTAGTGCAGCACAAAGGAATTCAAAAATTGCTTTAGATTTCATACTCAAATCTCAGGTATGGCATTCTGTTTCTTTTTGTAATAATCATAGCCTTTGAATTATGCGCATTACGATTAATTTTGTGAGATATTTATTATCTTCCCTCACCATAATATATCATATAACTATGAACTTGTTTGAATTAAGTTATTTTAAATCAAAAGAATTTTTAAATACTTTTATAGTATTTGAATAAAATAAAAAATCTTTTTAAACACTTATTTATAAGTCAAAATAATAAAAAATAAAAGGTCATAATTTAGAATTCCTAACTTGTTACGGGTTATGCTTATAAAATATAGGCTATAAGCTCATTCAGGCTTGATATCTACCAAGTCATTTTATGAAATACTTGTTACCTTCATAAACATAAATACTAAATAACTCTATCGGCCAAAATGCACTTTTCGGGATATATATTTTAGGATAAACTCAATTATTATTATTATATATTAACTTGAAATTATTATAGATATTCATAACTTCATAATTTGGTACCTCTCATTATTACAGGTATCATTAACTCTGTCCAGGTATAATTTAAACAGGTATGATCCTCTTATATACTATGTAAATTTCTCGTATGAATTTCTAGCTCCGCCATTTATCTCATTTACTATAAACTTGTCTGAAACACAGTTCAATTTTCTTCAGGCAAAAAAAAAACTGAGATACACAAAACTTCTTGTACAAAATGTGTGACATCAAGAAGGAAACTTTACTTAACAAAAACAAGGAAATTGTAAGAACAGTATCAAATGCCTACGACGAATTACGAAGTTTCAGAACATGGTTGAAATGGATGTGTGTGGATCAATCTAACGCGTTTTCCGCTTGTCTCTCTTGGTTTGTTTTCATACTGTTAGCTGTAATCGTCCCTTGCCTTTCGCATTTTCTTCTGGCAAGGGACGATAGTGATGCTGCACACAGTCGTCCATATGACAACGTTGTGCAGCTATCACTTAGCAGTGTTTCTGCTTTGTCATTTGTTTGTCTTTCTCAGTTTGTTAAGAAATATGGGCTGAGAAGGTTTTTGTTCCTTGATAAGCTTTGTGATGAGAGTGAAACAGTTAGAAGAGGCTACACTGAACAGCTCAATGTAAGCCTTCTCTTTTTTTTCCGAGTTTAAGTTTTATGCACTGATAGTGAATATATATTTGTATTATTAACTCACTTGTTAGGTAATTAGACGTAAATCTTGTAATAGTTATAACTCCTTCTTGAGTTGTTCAGACTCTTCAAAAATGCCGACGTGTGTATTGGATCCTTCTTTAAAGATCCAATAGGAGTGCGGTGTCATTTTTGGAGAGTCCGAGCAACATAGACTTCTTCTCTCCCAATTTATGTGTCACCTTTCCTTTTAAGGTCGTCCTGAAAAGAATGTCACATTTCAATAATTAGAAACAATTCAACTTTCAAATTCCCCTTTTTAACCCTTAATGAAATGATTTATAATCTTACTAATATCTAAGGTTTATTTTAGGCCACAAGTTTCTTAAATATCATATCAAGTCAAATAATGTCATATAGATTGGGACGAAGGGAGTACTTGATAATTCGTAAAGATGGTAAGAATTTCATCCTAAGGACTATGCACATAGCTTAAGACTTTGATTTGACTTTTATATTGATGGGAAAGAAATAATGGAGAAAACATCAAATGAAAGATCAAAATTTTGAATTGTTAAATGAATTCTTGAAAGTCTTGATGAATACTACGGAAAATGTTATTAGTGGAATTGTATTCAGATTATTTGAGACATTTCGAAATAGAAAGAGTACTGTTTATATAAGTTGAAAGGATGGAATATTGATCAACTTTGATGTAATAATAACTTCTTCTCAATATGCAGAGTTCACTAAAGATCTTATTCATATTTGTCCTGCCATGTTTTGCTGTTGAATGCGCGTACAAGATTTGGTGGTACAGTTCGGGTGGTACACGAATCCCCTTCTTGGGCAACGTCATTGTGAGTGACACTGTCGCGTGCATTCTAGAGCTGAGTTCTTGGCTTTACAGGACGGTCGTGTTCTTCCTAGTCTGTATACTTTTCCGGTTGATATGCTACCTTCAAATTCTCCGACTACAGGATTTTGCTCAGGTGTTTCACGTGGATTCTGATGTTGAATCAGTGTTGAGAGAGCACCTGAGAATTAGGAGGCACTTGAGGATCATTAGCCATAGGTACCGGTCGTTCATCTTGTGGGCATTGATGCTCGTTACAGCAAGCCAATTCGCGTCCCTTCTCATGACCACACGCTCAACTGCAGATCTTCATATCTACAAAAGTGGTGAACTCGCGGTATGCCTAATAAGCATTCTTATTTAATTTTTTTAAAATGGGGGCAGGGGAAGGAGATTACAAGGTGGTGAATCGAACCATCACATACAAAGTGAAAGTTCAAGTAGCCAAATTTGTGGTTAAAGTCGGTCAGTTTTTCATTCTTTCTTAAAATTCGTGCTCAGTCAAACACCGTCATGTATGACATGAAACCAAGGGAGTGCCTATTATGATTCTTGTCCTAGCTGATTGACCCCTAGTTCATCTAGCCGATCCTTATCCTGAATATTCGTTTTGTTGCTGTTACTCGTGATTAAAGGTTGTCGTCTTAATATGCAGCTCTGCTCTGTCAGCCTTCTCGCCGGGCTGATGATACTGTTGCGAAGTGCAACCAGAATTACACACAAGGCTCAATCCGTTACGTGCCTTGCAGCCAAGTGGCACGTATGTGCAACGATAGATTCATTTGATTCGACTGAGGCTGATACACCAATTACTCGAGCGACCTCTGACCACGTCTTTCCTGTATGTTCTGAAGGATCATCTGATGCTGATGATGTCGGAGATGAAGAAGACGAGTTGGACAATACGAAATTCGTCCATGCATATGCCTATAGCACAATTTCATTCCAGAAAAGACAGGCACTAGGTATGATATGCTGGTTAAAATTGTTTTCCTTATTCTTTCCCTTGAGAAATGAGCACTAATATTACTGCGAGTTTAACTTATATGCACTGACAATCAGTAGTGGAGCTAGAATATTTACTATGAGATTCAAAATATAAAGAAGTAAACACACAGTGAATCCAAGGGGATTGTAAAAAATAATTTGATCTTTTATATAATAGTATAGTATAATTTTTTGACGAAGGAGTTCATATGAACCCCTTGTGCCCTCTAACTACCCCCATGCTGACAATATATAATATTTTTTCTCCGTCAAGTTAAAATTACCTACACAGTAGACAACTATCCATAACAACTGTGTTAAAATTTTCACACAGTTAAATTTTATCCTATTATAATAAAGTTTTGGCGTAAATGGTAAAGTTGTTGCCATGTGACCAGGAGGTCACGGGTTCGAGGTGTAAACAACGCTTTGGCAGAAATGCAGAGTAAGACTGTCTACAATAGAACCTTGTGGTCCGGCCTTTTATCCGACCCCACACATAGTGGGAGCTTAGTGCACCGACCTGATCTTTCAGTATTAAGTTTGTAATATTGCATAGCTACTTAGATAGGATTATTCTAATGATACTTTATTTTGACAAATCTGTTTGCAGTGACATATTTTGAGAACAATAGAGCAGGAGTAACAATTTATGGATTCATGCTGGATAGAAGTTCTATTCACACCATATTTGGGATAGAATTGTCACTAGTTCTTTGGTTGCTTGGGAAAACCATTGGCATTTCTTGAATTATTATTAGCTACATGTTATGTTACTCGGATTTGACACATACCTGACGATATTTTTGAAGAGTCCTAACAACATAGTCAGTCAAAAACGGACTTTTTGACTTGTCCAATCGTTGGAGTTTAAAGATATAAAAATATGAGAAAGATGGAGGAAGTTTACCAAACACAATTTACAAGTTTATCGATCCATCTTCTCCTAGTGCTAGCCTCCAGGCTCCAGTTCATTCTTCTTCATTTCATCATTTTGTTGTGTTGTTCTGATCATAGGTCCGTCCCCTTCTTAAAAGGTGAGCGTGCATAGCGATCTATTTAATTGATTGTTCAACTTTTATATCATTTATGATATCATTTTTTTTAATTTCTAAATTAAATAACTTATCAAGATGGATTGTAGTTCTGATGCCACCTTCAATGGAGTTATTTGATGAAATATGTGGTTATTTCATGTTACTTCTGGTTTTTGTGTATATTAATATGATTTAATTTACTTCTAGCCCATGCCATATTTCCAATAGGACACATGATGGATGACAACATGAAAAAAAGATGAAGACAGTCTCGAGTTCGATTTTTAGGAATTAAAAAGTTTCGGACTTCTCAATATGTCTTATATATACTAAATTCAAATTATTCGAACGTCAAAATGCATATCATATAGGTTAATATTGAAAATAAATAAAATTAAGATAGCATTGACATAGTCAAAAAAAGATTTAACTTATATGCAAATATCCCAAAGTTTATCACATTTACTTTAGTTTAAGTAATTAATATATATCATTAATCCCAAAATTTATACAATTTTTACAAAACATAAACTCTTTTTTTCCATATCTTTTTTCCTTTTCTTATTTTTAATTTTTTTAAAAAAAATTTATTTTAAGGTAAGCCTCAATTTATCTCTTTTTTTTTTCTTTCTTTCCTCCTTTATTTTCTCCTTGTGCCTTCATCTCTTCCAGTAAGATCAGCCATGCAGATTTGATTTCTCTCATTTATAATTTTTTTTTCTTCATATTTTCATCATAAACTCTGTCTTTTTCCTCTCATTAATTTAATACAAACAACAAATATACAAGAGGAGAAAGCATAGAGAAATTAGAGAGCAAGAACAAATATATATATAAGCCATTTCAACACAATTCTTTCATATTGAAACACTAAAGGCTTCATCTTTGTAAGTATTGATGATTTATTTTTTTATTTAATTGTCTAATTTTCGAAATTCACTGGCTCAATTAATTTAGATTCGAGCTATGTTAGGCCCGGCCCATTCAAGGGGAAAGCCTTTTACTAGGACTTTTTTTTTTTCATTTCCGGAGCTCGAATTTTGTATTATTAAGAATGGAGAGATTTCATTCATTCCATGCATCCATGCATGATTTCATCCCTACCAATTTTGCCCTCCATGTTTTTCTATGATTCATGAAAAAAACATCAAAAAATCTAAATACATTATTGTTTAGATTTTTTCTTAAAAATATATTGGGGGCATTTGACCGTGAAAATTATTCACTTTTTCCAAGAATAATTTTTTACTTTATTTGATTCAGTGAAATTTGAAAAAAAAAATATTTTTGTTTTCAAAGTGAAAAATAATATTTGAAAATTGGTTTGACCATGAATACAAATTAGAGTTGTTTTGACTTTTTGTAAGTAATTTGGAGGAAAAAAGTGAAAACACCTTTTTGTTGTTTTTCAAAGTCTTGAAAATTCTGGAATTCAACTTCAAGTTGAAGTTCAGAATTTTATGGCCAAACGTGTTTTTCGAAAAAAGTAAATTGTTTTTACACTCTTCAATCTACATTTCAGAAAAGCTATTCAACTAACAACACCTTCTATTGATTTTGATATTCTTTAGAAAAAGTATGCTTTTTATAATTTACATTTTTATGTCATGATAATGTATTTGCATAGTTTGTTTCATGGATACATGGATTTTCTTTTTATGGACAATGATGAAACTTGAACAAAAGTCTTTTGCTTGCTGTTATACCATTCGATTAGAGTTTAACTTATACACCTCGATAACGTTAAAAAACTTTTACACTAGCTATCAAGTCACAAATATATATATCCATTGTAATTTAACCAAATAATGTAGGCATTTCTTTTTATCATCGTCGATATATTAGTTAAACTCATTCTCTTAACTATGTGATCCATGATGCATTTTAAAAAAAAAAAACTTAATTATGTAATTTTCAGCAATGGTAGGACAAACTAAGTTGGATCTTCCCTTAAAAAAATGAAAATGTGCTAGCTTGTTCAAAAGCATAACAATCAACTTGGCTTCAGTGAAGAATGGAGTTTGATACTTATCCCATCAATCGCTGCTCCAAAAGGAACGAGAAGATTTATCAAGAATGGTTTAGTTCTGCTGATTCGGGTTTGTTCTCTCTCTCTCTCTCGCACGTGTGATCTCATCATCATTCTTATTTAAATATGTGAATGTGGATATGAATCCATAATTTAAATTTAAATGGTTCGACTTTCAAGAGTTTTTAGAATTGAAACATAGTGTATTTTAAATTATGAGTTTAAAATGCTTCAAGTTTAACATTTGTTGAATTTAATGGTATCACAGATGGAGATGGACGTCTCATCGGAAAGGATGCCACCAGCTTCCTTGCAATGTCAAACTTGCCTCGTGAAGATCTCAAGCAGGTTCTTCTTCGGTGTTTCTTTGTAATATTTTTAGTACTATTAATCGTTGCACTTCTATAACTCCGTATTGGGTGGTAATCTCATATTCTCTTGTGACATTGAGCTATATGTATGAATATATATATCATTATGTGTGTGTGCTCACGCGTTGCAGGGGCATATCCATTTTAAATTTGGTACTGCATGAACAGGGAAAAGGAATTGTGTTTGTTTGTCTACAAGTTGTTGAATCCCCTTAACATAAACGAAGATTCTATGCTAGTGGCAAAGGGGGTTTAAAATTTTCTTTAGGTAACAAGTAGGTGTTGTTTTTGTATTTTGTTAATTAAATAAAAACCAAAATTCTGGCTCCGTGGCTTCCTCAAGATATTATTTAGGTTATTTTTTATGTGTTTTAAATGATTATTGGTTGTTCAATAATTTTCCATCTTGAATCATTTTTATGACCTTAACTAGTTCGTCTTCATGTTGTATAGTCTGTTGTTGAACTAGTGTCCTGTTCATTCTATTGAGGCAATAGCTTCGTTCCTATAACTGATATGCTGACAACCCTCTTGGAACGTAACTGCTTTTCGTTTATTTGATATGCTAATCCCCACCCCAACCCATAGGCTTTTGTCCTCATCTTAACAGAGTTTGTTTGCCAGTTGGATCATAATTAGCCAAATGCATGTCATATTATCACTTTCCAGCATCTAAGTATCACATAAAAGACCAGAATGGTAACTCATTAGTAGCCATTCTCTCCTCTGTTTGCACCTAAAAATAGACAACTCGATGCACTAAGCTCCCGCTGGACCAACATTTACGTTGTCGAAATGAGAGGCTATCTCCAAGGCCATAACCTGTGAGTAGGAGGTCAAGGGTTCAAGCCGTGGAAATAGCCACTAGCAATATTTGGTTCTGAAATGAGTCCTTCTCTCGTTTGCCTGCTAAAATTAAATTTCGCGAATCTATGTTTTCTATCTTTCAATAGGATATCAACTGCTTGGATGTATTTGAAAGCCTCGAGATGACTTGCACGAAAAATTCTTCTTAGGTTTGTTTTGAGGCTGACCTTTTAGTTATTTGAGAGAGTGTTACAGCATGCCATGCTAAATATTATTTGATTATGTATAGCCTAATAGTTGTTTTTGACTTTTATATGACCTTTTGTTACGACTATGAAGCTGATGCACTATTGCTGTACCTTTTATGCATTTAATACCTATGTCTAATCAAATCGTTTTACTTCTCTGTTTTTCCGAAGGTGTGGGCAATTGCAGATTCGAAACGGCAAGGATATCTTGGTTTTAAAGAGTTTATAACTGCAATGCAGGTACTAGCTCTTTGTGTGGGCTCTCATTCACCTTTAATAGTTAATTTTCTTCCCTATAAACTGCAGATCATTCTTTGCATTTCACTATGTAGTTGGTCTCTTTGGCTCAAGCTGGCCATGCTGTGACAAGTGATTTCTCAAATGCTGACGGTAAGTTATGCAGCTTCAATGATAACCAAACAGTATACTAGTAATGTTAGTTGTCACATGACTGCTACTACAAAAATAACTACAGCTCAGTTCCAAACAAGTTGTGATCGGCTATATGAATTCTCACTTCTCCATTTAAGCTCAACTCATGATAATATCGTACCAAATAAAAGTAAAAAGTAAAAAGTAAAAAGTGAAAAATATGTAAATATGTAATTAATAGTAATAATAATAATATTTGAAGTTTCCTAATAGACTAAAGCCAGTTCCCAACATCTTTTTCTTCCTTTGTGCATTTAGAGGTCTTTCATGTGATTTTAGGTCTACCAGTCCCCCTTTAACACCTTCACTCACCATAGTTTACTTATGGGCCAGTACATCTGTTGGTCGACGCACGATATGACCAGAACTGTCTCAAGCTACTTTCTCTTATTTTATCCTCAATGCGTGCTAAAATTGCACCTTCTGGTGAAATTGTTTGTTATGGCATGTATTGGCTTTCTTTAGCAAGCAGAATTTGTTATCTTATATTGGTCTTATAATTAGAACAATTTCAATCCAATGCAGTTGACTTCGAGAATTTACAGCCACCTACAATGGAAGGTCTGGACGGACTTCTCGCTGTAAGTATGCCAGCTAGATTCATTTTTTTCTTTTACCATCTATTGCTCAACTGTTACTTCAAATGTTTTACAGAAGAAGAAGCGCGTGGCCAAATGGGTACCTGACGGTAATGGTAATGTTACTTCAGTAAATACAATAAGATTTTTATTTTTATTTGTTTACATTCTTGGGAAATTGGGAAGGGGGAGTGGATGGAGTCTCTGCATCTAACTAATTGAATTGCGAAGCAGGCAGTCTTACGCTATCTTCCCGAGCTAATTGGTTTTCATCGTCAAAATCTGCAAAGAAGGTGAGTGTGGTACCACCAATATGAATCTATTTCTTCTATCGTGCTGATTTTGCATTAAATCTGCATGAATTTCAAGAGACTGTAAGATTTTTGAGACAACTTTCTTCCTCGTGATTTTAGATTTACTCGTCCTATTTTAACACCTTCAATCACCTTAGTTTCACATGACAAGTGCGTCTACAGTTCGAAATAGGATGTGGCCAAACCATCTCAAGGATCTTCTCTCATTTTATCTCTGTGTCCTATAAACTCTCAAATATTGCATGTTCTTGCTTAAGTAATGCACTTTTCAGATGCTCGTCTGTTGTAACTTCCGAAGATTAACTTTGTTCAAATGATTGTGTTTGTTTTGCATCAGATGCAATGGTTTCATATTTTAGCTGTCTATATGGTATCCTTTTCTAGAAGGAGTACCTTTCTACACTATCTTCATTCCAAATTACGTGACAAACTTCTGTTAGGCAATGTCTTAAGATGATCGACAAACTTATGAACTATTATTATATTCTATATAACTTTCACAATGTACAAGTAGGACTTCATTTGATAATTACAATTTAAACATGACGGCATGTACTCCCTATGAAGCTAACTTGTGAACAATTATCGTGGTCCTCATCTGTCAATGAAAACTGTTCTTTGCTTTGATGTCACACGCTATCTGTTGAAATTATTACATGGGAATGTCTTTTTCCCAAACTGTCCCGAACACATCGTCCTATAGCATTCCATTGGTATGTATTTTTGTTTTGCTCCTGGAGTGATGCTTGGTCCCTTTCATTTGCCTTTCAGGTCCCTTCAAACTATGTCACATCAATAATCGATGGACTGAAGAAATTGTACGCCAAAAAACTAAAGCCACTGGAAGTTGCATATCACTACAGTGATTTTGTCTCTCCTTTATTGGTAGGTGTAGCATTTCAGTTTAGCTATGCTTATTAAACAAATAGGAAAATATCTTAAATTCCGTTATTGGTATCATGATGACGGTGATGCATATAGATGAATTAACTTCTTTATTCTTCAATGTTTGGTAGGCAAATAGTGATTTTGATGCCAAACCAATGGTGATGCTTTTGGGTCAATACTCCACTGGCAAAACAACCTTCATTAAGCATTTACTCAGATCTAGCTATCCAGGTTAGCAAAAATGATTCTTGGCATAACTGGTAGGTTCCGGTTTCGAGCCATGAAAACAGCCTCTTGCAGAAATGCAAGGTAAGGCTGCATACAATAGGCCCTTGTAGTCCGGCTCTTTCTTGGACCCAGTGCATACCGGGAGCTTAGTGCTTCGGGCCGCCCTTTTATGTGCATTTATCTGTTGACATTTTGTGATTCTTTTATGTCCATAGGTGCTCATATTGGACCGGAGCCTACAACAGACAGATTTGTTGTCGTCATGGTACTTTTACTTATCTGATTTGTACTGACTACTGTGTTCACTCACTTATTATCTTTCTTGGTATGGTGCCGAGTAGAAGAAAACTTAATACTGTACTGAAGTTCAAAGGTGTTTGTTAAAAGTTGTCCCAGAAATAGTAGCCGTTTCTATAACAGGACTACTATATTTACTATAATTAAAAGTACTAAATCATTTGTTTGGCAATCGTTCACTTTAACTAGAGGTAGTACATCGACCTCAAGTTAATATACTGTAATAATTGGGTTCACCATCAAATATTTATAGATATTTAGTGGATTTCTTAGTACGTATACATGATTTGGGAAAAAAATATTGGGTTCACGTGAACTCATAAGTTACACTGTGTATTATACAGAATGGACCTGATGAAAGAAGTATCCCAGGGAACACAATTGCTGTTCAAGCAGATATGCCATTTAGTGGTTTGACAACTTTTGGAACGGCGTTTTTGTCAAAGTTTGAATGTTCTCAAATGCCTCATCCTGTGAGTATGACTCTTTGTTAATCGTACTGTATATGAAAACAATTTTTTTATATATATAGAAACTGAATGATTTCCTTCTCTTTCATTTTGAAAAAGCTGTTAGAGAATATCACATTTGTCGATACACCCGGAGTGTTATCAGGGGAAAAGCAACGAACACAGAGGAGCTATGAATTTACGGGGGTGACGTCCTGGTTTGCTGCTAAATGTGATCTCATTCTGCTTTTATTTGATCCTCACAAACTTGATATTAGTGATGAATTCAAACGTGTGATTGCATCTCTTCAAGGACACGACGATAAGATTCGTGTGGTATTGAACAAAGCCGACAAAGTTGATACCCAACAAGTAAGGCATATTATTTTCTTTTTTGTTCATGTTCATGGCCTCTTTATAGACTGGTAAAATTTTGTTTTATTAATTGGTCCCCATTGCAGCTTATGAGGGTTTATGGAGCTTTGATGTGGTCTTTAGGGAAAGTTCAGAATACCCCTGAAGTATCACGTGTCTACATCGGGTATGATCTCTATATTTTCAATTAAAACATGATTGATTTCGATGGGAGTATTATAGCAAACTAAATATGATTTAAGTGGCACAAAATGATAATGTGAGCGTTGGAGTCCCACATCGGTCGGTTTAAGGGTCATTTGGTCTCCTTATATCGTCTTGGACAATCTTCCCCTCATGAGCTAACTTTTTGGGGTTGAGTTAGGTCAAAAATCCGTTTCTTTACATGGTAGCAGAGTCAGGCATCCCCTTCTTGTATTGTCCATGGGGTATCCCACATTGGTCGGTTTAAGGATCATTTGGTCTCATTATATAGTCTTGGACAATCCTCCCCTCGGGGTTAGGTTAGGCCCAACATCAATTTACTCTTCAATAAAGTCTCCAAATTTAGTAGTGCAATGTGCATTTCATAGTTCTGTCTGTTTGACTTCAGGATCATGAAGTCAGTCATCCAAAATGTTTCATTTTTATATGGAAAATAAGACGAAAAATTCTTTTCTTTTCGGAGTTCAACGTTTTGCATAAACTCTATGGATGTTTTGGCTTTTACAGATCATTTAATGACAGTCCTATAAATGAGGATCTCACAGGGCCTTTGGGGAAAGAACTTTTCGAGAAGGAACAAGATGATCTCCTTACAGACCTGAAAAACATACCGAAAAAGGCTTGTGATCGCCGTGTAAGTTCACAATCTCTGAATGTGATCCTAAAATATTTTTTTGCTCATAAACTATGCTTCCGATTTGAGTTGAGCTTGCGGTCAGTGAGGTTTATTATATAGCTGATCCCAACTTATTTGGAACTGAGGCGCAATTATTGTTGTAAACTATGCTTCTGATTTTACATTAAACAAAAGCTGAAAGTCAGGTTTTGTTGCGTACAGATAAATGAATTCGTAAAACGCGCTAGAGCTGCAAAGGTACATGCTTATATTATAAGTCACCTGAAAAAGGAGATGCCCGCTATGATGGGCAAATCTAAGACACAGAAAAGACTGATCGATAACTTGGCTGATGAATTCGTAAAGGTATATGTCATCCCTTATTCGCTAACTCTATATGAACTTATTAGTACGTTGCTCAGACTCTTCAAAAATGTCTGTATCCAAAACTAGTGTATTTTTGAAGGATCTGACATAGGTGCGATAACATTTTTGGAGAGTACGAGCAACATTAATCTATGTCTTTAATGTTATCATCCTTCCAAACAGATTCAAAAAGAACACCATCTACCAGCTGGGGATTTTCCAGATGTTGAACATTTTAGAGAAATTCTGAGTGGTTATAACATTGACAAGTTTGAGAAATTGAAACCCAAGTTGATACAAGCTGTTGATGACATGCTTGGTTATGACATCCCTGAACTTCTCAAAAATTTCAAGAATCCATACGAGTAACTAGGTACGTAGAGTACCGAGTTATATCTGCAGTGACGAAGCCAGAAATTTATACAAAGAGATTCAAATAATACTAATCACACATAGGATTTGAACTTGTGACTCGAAGGCGACTTAAGGGATGCAACAGTTCACATATAACCAAAAATATTTGTTTTTAACTTATTAGTGCACTATGATTTTCCGATGAAGGGAATTCAATTTAATCCTTTTCGGTCCCTTTAGGGGTATAATATGGAATGTGGTTGTATTCTTTTAGTTCCTATATTTTAGTCTCACATATATTGAGACTTTTCTTGATCATGACTAATTTTATTAAATTTATAATATTAATTACGAAAGAGTCTAAAATATTCCTGAACTATCAAATCTAGTACAAATATACCCGTCATTAACCTTTTGGCTCCAAATTAGCCATGACGTCATTGTATGGGCTCTAAATTTCCCCTATTTTTAACGGTGTTCTTTGAAAATAAAATTAATAAATTTATTTATTATGTGACACGTTTTTATTGGTTGTTAAAATTAATCTAATTAATTAATCTTAATTCACAATCCGTATCTAGACACACCAGAATATGATAATATAAAATAAGTTATATTACAAACTAAAGTATATTTAAGAAGTTAACTTTTAAACTAGTAAGATATATGTAAATTTCTAACGATAAATACGATACAATTGTTTGGGCTGGTGCGGGTTCAGCCCATCTGGGTCAACCCACTGTTGTACGAGTACAATTTGCATCAAGTAGCCAAGTTTACGTGTACTATTTAAGGTATAGATTTCATTTTGTAGGTATCTATCTATTCACTAAAGAAAATAATGATTATGCTTTATTCGCATATAATGTCAGATTTTCATTAAATGAGTTCAAATACGAGAAAGTAAACGCACAAAGAATTCAAATGAAGCTCAAAATTTATTATATATAGCTAAAATTTAATTTTATTATTATATAAATAATGTTATTTTCTACGAAACAGAATTATCCTACCTTACTCTGCCCCTCGTAAACAAAAGTTAAACAGTTTGTAAATTTTGTCTAGGTTTTAAATATTGGTGCTCCAAGTCTCTATCGTACCACTTGACCCGATTGCAACGACCCGTCGGGTCACTGTAGTGTCCTCGGCGAGACTGAGCATTGTAGCGTTTACGCTTTCTTACAATTTTCTCTCTCTACCCTCCGCTTAGGTTTTAATCTCTCCATTCCATCGCCGCTCCGCCGCTTCAGAGTTCCTCAGACGTAGCTGTGCTAGCAGTTACTCCTCGCCTGATAAATTGACCGAAATCGCGGAATTTCTGAGTTCGCAGCTGGATTTAACCTAGAGTAACCGGAGCAAGTAGAAAGATGAGTATAGTACCGAAAGAGACAATAGAAGTGATATCTCAAAGTATAGGTGTAAGCAATTTATCACCAGATGTCTTGCCTGCTCTCGCCGTCGATGTCGAATACCGTATTCGAGAGATTATGCAGGTAACTCCTTTTACACACACAGTCTGTTTATACAAACAAAAACACACATTTCTTTTGGAATAACAAAACATGGATGGTTTGATCTTCGAGATTAATTTTGGAACATAGGCATGGTGAAGTTTTGACTCTTTTTTTTAGTTGAGGTTATTGCGCATGTAATTTGCATAAATTTTTGTATGATACTGTAGGAAGCTATTAAATGTATGCATCACTCGAAGAGAACTACGTTATCTACTGATGATGTGGATGCTGCCCTTAGCTTGAGAGGTGTAGAGGTACCTTTTCTGTTTTATACCAGCCTATGTTACTCGGAATCTTCAAAAGTGTTGATGATTGTGTGTCGGATCCTCCAAAGGTAGTGCATTTTTGGAGGAGTCAACTCGGGGGCAGCAATATTTTTGGGGAGTCCAAACAACATAGGCTATAGCTGATTTATCTAAGTTTGAAATTGTGGTGTAATTGATTGTTCTTTTATGTCTGTGTTGTGTTGGGCAGCCAATTTATGGCTTTGCTTCAGGGGATCCGTTAAGGTTCAGGAGAGCGGCTGGACATAAAGATTTGTTCTACATTGAAGAGAAGGATGTAGAATTCAAAGATGTAAAGAAACTTTGATAAACGAGGTTTTAGCAGATTTAGTTTGTGAATTTATTGAAGTGATGTTCATAGTAAGTTGTCGCATTTTGTGGTTTAGGTGATCGAAGCTCCTTTGCCGAAAGCACCGCTAGATGCTGCTGTTGTTGCCCATTGGTTAGCTATAGAAGGAGTACAACCTGCTATTCCTGAAAACCCTCTGCCTGAAGGTCCATATCTTGTTACAACCTTAACTGCAATTAGCTTGTCCGCATGTTTTAGTACTTGATTTTACCCTAGCCATCTGATTTTTTTGGTCATGCGTTGTGTTCTTTCCTACTGATTCCCATTCTCTTAGTTTGCCTCCTGCCTTGAATAATTTTCTTTTCCCCACAACTGCTACGAAATGAGGAGTATTCTTGTAGTAGTAGTACTAGTTAAAATTTGTATTTATTTTCGATATTCCAGACTAACAGATTAATTTATCACAGCCTTAGCCATGCCGTCTGATACTAGAAATACCGAGTATAAGGAGGATGGAGTTCCTGTTGATATTAAAGTACCTGTTAAGCATGTCCTATCGCGTGAGCTTCAGGTATAATTGTACCAAAATGTTTGTATCCTTTTTGCCCATATTTATCCTTATGCATCATTGTTCTTTTTTTTTGCAGCTCTATTATGAAAAAATTAAAGAGCTTACTGTAGATAGATCTAATCCCCTTCTCTTTAAAGAAGCTCTACGAAGCTTAGCAACAGACTCAGGGATTCATCCAGTAGTTCCTTACTTTACATATTTTATTTCTGATGAGGTAATTGTAGCCGATTTAAGCCCAGTTCATTCAACATTTGTGGGTGATGGACAAATGATCTAATGATAGTCTGTTACATGTCAGGTTTCTCGGAATTTGAACAATTTTCCTCTCCTTTTCGCTTTGATGCGGCTACTCTGGAGCCTTCTCCAGAATACACAAATACATATTGAACCATATGTGAGTCTATTGCTGATGTCTTGGTGTAACATACTTCTTACTCTAGAAAGTAGGTTTAGGATAATGTATAAAATTTCTGTTGATGATTGGACTGGTTAAACTTTATTGTTTTTGAAATCACTTAAAAATGACAGTGGAAGGAGTACATATCTTTTGAGAAAAGAGAAGGTTTGATTGCATTAGTTAATTCATTTAATTTGAATAAGCTGTGTTAGTTTATTTTGTTCATTAAAGCAGTGTTATATACATAATGGATAACTAACTAGGCTTTGGCTTCAACCATGCAGTTTCAATTCATGGTGTTGTCTAATTTTCCCGTGGTTGATCTGATAATTTTCTCCTCCATGCGACTTTTTATTCTTTTTTCGAATAATTTAGTTATTTTGCCGAGTTTATCTCCAGCTGCACCAGTTGATGCCTTCTATAATGACATGCCTTGTTGCAAGAAGGTTGGGAAACAGATTATCTGACAATCATTGGGAACTTAGGGACTTCTCAGCAACGTTAGTTGCTTTAATATGCAAGAGGTAAGGATCACTCAGTTCTCACATTTGGAAGCTACAGAAAGAATGCATCTGCTTCATATGCTGTTGCTTCTATGTTGATCAAGCTATTAACTCCAACTGAATTTATCCTGTTACATGTTGGGCTTTTCTCCCTTTTCCTTGTTGCTGCCCCCATGAGAAGGTGGTTGTTTGCTAGTGCATGTTCTGTATAGTTGTTGGCAATTCCAAAACATGTTTTTCTGTTTTGTGCTTTATAGACTATTGAACTTATTTTTCAGTTCCATGATATTGGTAATAATTCCATCTTTATCAACTGGTGCTGTCTTGTTCACAAGTAAAACCTGTGCAGATATGGTCGTGTGTACCACAATCTCCAGTCACGTGTCACCAGTACTTTGCTGCATGCTTTTCTGGATCCAACTAAGGCGCTGCCACAACATTATGGAGCAATTCAAGGACTCGCAGCTCTCGGACCTGGTGTGGTATTTCCTTGTTCTCCCTGTTCTTCCTTTCCATCTTATTTATGCTACTAAATTTTGAAGTGTAAGCAACAATTGGTGATATATTCTAATTTTGTATGTATAGGTTCGCCTACTTGTGCTGCCAAATCTTGAGGCTTATTTGCAATTACTGGAACCCGAAATGCAGCCCGAGAAGCAAAAAAATGAAATGAAGAGGTTTGAAGCTTGGCGTGTTTATGGAGCCTTGATGGTCAGTTGTCTTGAATGTTTAATGTGTCTTTCTTCATTATTTTGTCCAATCATTTCAATGTGATATTGAACACAGTGAAATGTGACTTCTCTAACTTTTATTGTTAGATATTTTGGCATTACTGCAATTAGTCTCCTAATTATGTAATGGGTTCGCAGTGTGCTGCTGGTTTATGCATCTATGAGCGCTTCAAGTTGCTTCCAGCTTCACTATCTCCATCCACTCGCACATTCCTGAAGAGTAAATGGAAAGTCTCAACTACATTGTCGAGTATGTCCTGGTCTTTGCTTTACTTGTTCTATTCTTTCCCACAAGGAATCTATAACTAGAACTTGTAATTCTTTTTCCTTGTGAACTTTTCTGTATGTTGTTTATTAAATATGTTCTGCCTCTTGGAGTGTCAGTCAATATTGAAATGGTTCTAGATAGATATGATCTGTATGACAGATTTCCTAAATTATTCTCATTTTTCTTTGTGGATTATATATTGCGGCTTCTCCTTGCAGAATAATGTGGAGCAATTTAATGCTAAATGTTGGAGGCCAGTTGCTCTTTATATGATCTATTAGAACTCACGAGTCTTGTTATATATGTTTGTCTTGCTAGTTTTGTGTGGTCTGTCATTTAAGTTAAAAGTCGGGAATCCTTTTCCGTGGATGTCTTCTTTGTCCAAATGCTTCGGTTAGAATATGAATACTTATATACAATTCGACTTAAAATAGGAATAGGAATAGTATATAGTTTCCTACTTGGTCAAGGATTGTATTGTAGTGTCTATAATAGGGTCTCTATATCTAATAATGTAGATGCACAATTCAATAATATTCTTCTCCAATATTTTTCACATGATATCGGAGCCTCTACGATCTTGGTAGAAAATCAATGAGCTTTCACTGTCGGCGGGTGG